GGGCAGTGTTTCGTTCTGCTGTGCATGGGGTCGCTATGAGTCGGAAATGACTCGACGGCACTTAACAACAACAACAACAACAACATTCTATAAAGTAATATCAAATGAAGAAAAATGCACAAACAGCAGAATAAAGTTATTAATTGCAGCCTCATTCATAATAACAAAAACAAAAACCTTAAATGTCTAATGTAGGAGAATATTATTAGCAGGCATTAGAGTTATCCTCTCATGGAGAAGTTTTAATAAAATGAGGAAGTATTTATGTGATAATATGAAGTGAAAAAAAGCAAGATATATAACTGCATGATATCAACTACATTTTAAAAATGCTTCAGTGAAGGAAATATATCAAAATGTTTACAATGATAGGATTACCAATAATTATCATTCCCTTACTATAATGTTCTACTTATTTCTGTAATGAAGGTATAATACTCTTAAGGTTAGAAAAAGAATTTTAAAACAAACAAACAAAAAAATCGCACTGGAAAATATAACCTAAGTGGTCAGAACAATATAAAATAAAGGTATATAGATTCTAAGTGAGAAAATCAAGTCTCCATTTTATGGACTTATCCATAAATTCTGTGACATGGTTTGGTTGCACACACACATGGCTTTTGCTTACTCCCCATTTCTTTGCTGAATTTCAGATATGGCAGGTTGCTGGATAACTGAATTCTAGATGGGTAAAACATTAAGATTATTTATATTTAAAAGAGAAGAGAGGACACAGAGAGAGGGAGAGGTAGGGAAAAAGGAGAGAGAAAAAATTTTCAGATAATGTTTTCAGACAAGTATATAAAGATTTTTTTCCTATTAATTAGTTTAGAAGCCATGGATAGTGGTAATTGTCACTAAATCACTCAAGCTGCTTTATCAGTGGTTGAACATTAAAGCAGCAGCCTTGGTGGCACAGTGGTTAAAGCATTCTGTTGCTAACCAAAAGATCAGCAGTTTGAATCCACCAGCTGCTCTGCAGGAGAAAGATGAGGCAGTCTCATTTTGTAAAGATTACAGCCTTAGAAACCCTATGGGAGAGTGTCTACTCTATCCTATAGGTTTAGTATGAGTCCGAATTGGCTCAACTGACAGTGGGTTTGGTTTGGTTTCTGAGCATTAAAAACAAATGAACGTTTCTAGAGACTAGATAGGAGCTATGAGTCTCTAGCTCACTGCCATCCGTCGGATCTGACTCATAGTGACCCTTTCTTGAGTTTCTGAGGCCGTGTCACTACGGAAGTAGATTTCCCAACCTTCCTTCCAAGGAGTGGCTGCTGGGTTTGAACAGTCAGCCTTCTGGTTAGCAGTCAAATGCCTTACACACTATGCTACCAGTCTCTAGAAAGGTTAATTTGTTTTTAATCTTTTTTTAAAAAAAAAATTATTATGATTTGGGTGAGAGTTTACAGAGCAAATTCATTTTCCATACAGCAGTTCATACACATTTTGTTTCATGACATTGACTGCAATTCCTCACAATGTAACAGCTCTCTTCCCACTTCCTCCCTGTAGTTACCTCTTCCCTGTGTCCTTCCCTCCCATGCACTTCCGCCCTCTGAGCTATCTCCCTATGCAAATACCCAAGGCATCAAATATTTACAGAAGTAGATGCCCCTGTTTTTCTTTTGCAGAGTCACTGGTGAGTTTGAACTGCCAGCCTTCTAATTAGTACTCAAATGCCTTAGGCACTGTGCCACCAGAGCTCCTTAGTATACTGTCTTATTATAGGATGTTTATCTCTGAAGGTACTGGAGAATATATTAATCTCTGATCCCAATTCTCCTGTATTATTTGCAAATATTTTTCAATTAAACAGCAGTATCTTTTTATGTTTCTACTTCATTTTTAACTGCAATCACTTATAAGTGAGTATAGAAAAGGAGGCAGTGACCTTCTGATTTCACAATACACAATGACCCGCAATCATTCTTACACACATGGACCCCATCAAATCTACTACCTTGAGTCACCTGATGCAAGGATGATCAAGAGCAAACGGAATCCACAGTGGATGGTTTAACATAAGATGTTGCTTTACTTCTCAAAATTTCTAGAGATCATCTTTTAAAATTTCCCTCTGCCTCTCCATACACTGCATGCCAAGAACAGACTCTTTAAGAGTACTTTATGCTGGTCCCACAGGGAAACAAGATTGAGATCTGTTCTCATTCAGCATTAGCAGCATTAATTAGCATTTAGAATATGATTTTTAAGCACTTCCTCAAGTATCATATTTTATTATCATAACAACCCTATGAAATATTATTAGTCCAATTTATAGATGAAAAACCAGAGCCACAAAGAAGCTAATTTGCTCAACATTGTGCCAATATTAAGGTAAGAAGGGAAGGTCTGGAATTTAGATCCTCTAACTCTCAAACCTGTGGTTATTTCCACTGTTTCATGCTGCAGTGTTTACTGATATATTAATCCATGCCCAAGTATTCACCCCGAAAGGTCACACATAAGTATACATTAGTAGGAATCCCCGAGTGATGAAAACAGTTAAGGAGCTCAGCTGCTAATCAAGAGGCTGGAGGTTTCAGTCCATGCAGAAGCACCTTGGGAGAAAGGCGTGGTGATCTACTTCCAAAAAACTCATCCATTGAAAACCTGATGGAGCACAGTTCTACTCTGACACACACTAGGTCACTATGAGCTGGAGTCAACTTGATAGCAGCTAGTGGTGATGGTGGTGGTGGTCGTACAAATTAGTAATTGATCAACAACAGTGTGAATGAATAGGAAATTACTCCTGAAGAAGGAAAAACTGAGCAGCTCATGTTCACTTCCACCTTAATATCCACTTGTGCCCCTTCAGCCACATAGAATGTGTTCTTTTCTTCACAAATCCACATTCATCATTTGTCCTTCAGGGTTTAAATAATGCCTTCTCTGAAAAAATTCCATGGAAAACACGATCCACATTCACAATTCCTTTGCTCTCTGTTCTTTCAGTTTAATTTTAATAGCTTGTAGATATAATGGGGTTCACTTGTTCCCAAGTCCCACTGGAATATTTCTCCCAAGGTCAGGCATGTTTTAGCTCCCCAGTGAGACCTAAAGCAAGATCTATGTTTTCTACATCTCAGAATCCTCCCTACATTTCCAATGCCCTTCCTTTTTTCCCCCCAATTGCCTATGCATTGTTGCTATGCATTCAACAATTGCTTCCTCAGTGAATTACCTGGATTAGTGTACTGAAAGCCCAGCTTGATTAGTAATTAGGAGATCGGGATCCCAGCCCTCCCACTAAGTAGCTGTGTTATTTTGGTCAAGTCTATGGGTCTTAATTTCCTCACCATAAAATGATTATGGGGGCAGTGAGTAGGTGGATTATATGAGTTCTTTAATCTCTAAGATGCTATGATTATTTAATATTACTTTGATTGGGACTGATCTCAACCTTACTTTAGTCCATGAGGGAAGAGAGCGGCAACGAATGAGAATTCCAAAGAGAACAATATTAAAAACAAGCAAAACAAACACAGAGACCAGGTAGAAGAAAGCCATTGTGTCTGGAAATTTAATGAAGTAAAGAGAACCAGAGAGTGTACTGAGGCTGCTGTTCCGGGCAAGGTGGAAATGTGAGTCCTGTCTGAATAGGAAGTATGAGGGGCGCTGGGTAGAATGCAAATGGGCCTGTGAAGTAACTAGAACAACTGCATTAGTGGTTAGGCAGATGCAGCTTTTTCTCCTCAACTCTTATGTTTGCCAGTCAAGCTTAAAATCAAATGTTAAGAATGTCCTCCTTGAGACTGTTTATATTATGATGGGAGAAACAGGATACATGCTAACAACTTCCTTGTGGAAATAAAAATGGAAGTTTCCAGTATTAAAACAGGGATCAATACTAGTAACATTTGATCATTAGAAACAATTTTCTTGTACTTGTTTCCATTTTTTTTTCATATGGTAATTTCCACAAGGATATTTCTGCTAAATGAGTATATTTGATTAAAGAGTATAATAATTTCAAGTAATATAATACTGGTCTCATTAAATTTTGGTTTTAGCTGACAGACTATGAAATGGAGGAAAATAGTGTTTTCTATGGCCTATCCATGTTTCATTAGTAAGCTCCCTTGGATGGAATGAATCTATAGGAGGCAATATAACTGAAGTCTCTGGTATGGTATGAGGGGCTAGGACTTATCTGAGGAGCCAAAGGAAAACAAAGTCAGAGTTCAGCTGCAACTTCAAGAAGAAGAAAAAAAAGCATGTCTGTAGAAAAGACAATTTCTGAGATTTTTAACAAAGTACTTGAATAACAGTTCTTGGACTACCAGAGTACACGTTTTCAGCTGGTATCCTAAATTGATGTGACATTTTAAAAGATGAGATCGATAGGAGTGCATGGCTGACTAAAGGCCAGAAAAATTCCACGTCAAAAAGAGCAAAAGTTTAAAGGGGATTTGATATTTAAGAGGCAGTTTTAGGAATCACCTGATGAGGTTCAATACTAAAACTGTAAAGAAGAAACTTATATTTAATCCAGGCTATATAACTTGGAATCCAGTTTGTCCTTAACATGCTACTTCAGAAAAGAGTCTAAATTTTACCAAGATCTATAAGGAAATTTCTACAAGGAGAAAAAAAAAAAAAAAAAAAATGTAGTGTGTGTATGCATGACAAACATACCTGCTTCATCATAGGACACAGTCAATTTTTCCAGCATTTCTCGGTCAATTGATAGAATCTGCTGTTCAAGGATGGTTTGGTAAGACAATACACTATTTTCTTTGTCCTTCTCGTAGTCCTGAAGATGCTGTTTCAGGGCCTCTGGGAGTCGAGATTTTACATATTCAGCTGCAGTCTGCAGATAAAACAGGCAGAGAACTCCATCAGTACTCAGGCTTTTTGCTCACCCTCAGGTGCTGTAGACAGAACTGAAAGCACTGCAGAGCCAACCCTCCTGACAAGTATGTCCTTGTCATTGTCATTTTTAGACTCCACTGTATCCAGTCATGTGGCTCTCCAAATATATAGAATCACAGACCTCTCAGAGTTTTCTACCAGGTTGAAAAGTATAAAAGATGAGGGATGTGGTTTGGCATTCACAGAGTTAGTAGTCAGAATTTCAGCTATTCGAGTGAACTCGGTAGACTCTGACAGCAATTTTGTTCAGCAAATTTGATTTGCCCTTAATCTTGAATGCAGAAGTTAGTCCCTCATCTCCAAAGTGAGCAAACCCAGGCTACAGCATGCACACCCCTACTTTGATTTCCTGTTCTTGCACTAATATTTATGAAGGAACTTTCCTGAGGTAAATAGAAAGGAGGGCTCTACTAGTGCTGATCATGAAAGTAACAAAAACTGAAGAGATTCATGCTCCTCAACCTGAAAAAAGAAGTTTGCCACTTAAATATCTTGGCCTTTATACATATTACCCTTAACTTTTTTCCTAGCTTTACTCTATGTACACCACCACCAGCTAGGTACTGTCCAGTCAATTCTGATTCATGGTGACCCAATGTGTTTCAGAGAAGAACTACTCCATAGGGTCGTCAAGGCTGTGATCTTTCACATAGCCAGGACTTTCTTCTTAGGTGTTTCTGGGTGGATTAGAACCACCAACTTTTCAGTTAGTAGACAAGTGCTTAACTGTCTGCCCCACCCAGGGACTCCTATGTACACAACACATTCCCAGTTACCAACATCTGAAATTACATGCAGTGATCTTCAACCACTTAGAGGTAGGAAAGAAGGCATGTGTATTTTGAAAAAGACCTTCCCAAGGATTCTGGTATGTTCTGGTGGGTTGGGGAGGTAGCATACTCTTCTCCCTCCCACTGAGAATCACAGCTTTAATGAATTCTAAGGGAGAATGGATGAGTGAATCAGGGGAATTCTGGAATCCTTAAAACATATCTCTGGAGAATGTCAAGAGTGTTGTATTTCCTTGCAGTGCAGTGTTACCTCACCTGAAACAAACAAACAAACAAACCAAACTCACTGCCACTGACTCAATTCTAACTCATAGCAACCCCCTTTGGATTTCTGAGGTGGTAAATCTTTATGGAAGTAGATTGCCTAGTCTTCCTTCCATGGAGTGGCTAGTGGGTTTGAACTGCCAACCTTCTGGTTAGCAGTCAAATGCCTTAGGCCCTATGCCACCAGAGCTCCTTTATTTCACCTGAATACTACCTAGTTGATACACCAATACATGGAGGCATATATATATTGTTTAAAATTATACTCATAGCCCCTAGAAAAATGAAATAAAAGAAAGTGTTAAAAAAGATCACCTCTGGGGCATGAGTCTAGAAAAAGATGAAGACATGTCTATATTGTTTAGATTTCTTTAAAGACCCTGTACAGCTTTTAGGTGTACAGTAAAACCTGAAAAAGTCAAACCTATGTAAGGCAGAAATCTGTCAGAGAAAGAAAACTTAAATTTTCTACTAAGAGAGAGCAACAGAAAAGTGGAAACACTGCACCCTGTAAAAGGTGGAAAACTTGAGAGATCCAGAAAAAGAAGGCAGTCCTGTTGAGGTCCAGCTCTCACTGTATAATTCCAGGCTTCACTGAATAATTTTAATTGTTTAAGTTAAACATACACACAGAGAGACATCATATATATAGTACATGCTCATCAACAAACATGGGTCTAGATCTAAGGAAGGATGTCCATGATGGATTGTTAAGGTAAAAAACAAGATTACAGAATACCAGAGACAGTATATCCTTTTTATGTAAAAAGAACACATATGTAGATACTATATTTATTATTATCATATATGCATAGAAGAAGATATGGAACACTATACCCCAACTGTGAAAGATACTCACTTTCTATATTCCACATTTTGCTATTGTTATTAACTCATTATAATTAAAAGAAAATAATCTTTAAAATGTTTCTCTGTAGCCTTGACAGTTTTCCTTTTAAATGTTAGCAAAGTTTAGGATGAAAGAAACTTGCCAGAACAATGACAACTGATTTTCCAGGAGAAGCCCACTGGGGAAGGTGTGGGGGAAGGTTAATTTCATCCTTAGAATAGCCAGATATAGCACATGGCACTTTTTATTTTTAGGTTTACATTTAGATTTCCTAAATCAACTGATGATTAAATTGGAACTTTAAAATATTTATCACCAAGCATTGTTCAATTTCTCTGCCAGCCATCTAGTGCAGAACAAATAAAATTATTCCATGAAATGTAAATGGACTCAGCACATTAGCACAACATATTTAATTCTAGAGCTTAATAATATTTTTTTTTTACTGACTGGAAAATGAAGAGATACATTACAGATCGACTCTTTTTAAATTCACTCTATCTTGCTATTCTAGCGACCCCTCCTTGGGTTTCCGAGGCAGTATCACTACGGAAGTAGGATTGCCCAACCTTCCACTCCTCGGAAGGAAGGTTGGGCAATCCTACTTCCGTAGTGATACTGCCTCGGAAACCCAAGGAGTCGGGGCCGACTCGACGGCACATAACAACAACAACAACAATCTTGCTATTCAGCATAACTGTCTTTACTGTTTTCCCCCCCATTGGAAATACCCATGAGGTACAGGAAATGGTTCCATAATTCACATTTTACAAAAGGTGATGTACTCTATATTACCAAAAGCATTCCATTGCTTCCTCCCAATTCTGCCCATTGATTATGTTTGAAATTAAATTTACTTTTTTTTAATTAAAATCATGATACAGACCTTTGAGCAGTGCCTGTATCATTGATTATATTGGAGTTAGATTTTGGAATTTCATTTCTTAAATAATGTAACTTCATGTATAGATCCCCCTCCCCCATAGGGAGGAAATTCTTAAGAGGAACCAGAGGAAACAACTCTAGGCAAAATATTAGATTCTGTCAAGATATTTCAAAACACCACCTTCACACTGAGGCTATGCTCTAATGTATTCAACTGGCAGTGGGGGCCTTATGTTCAAGCATGACCCTGTGTTCAAACACAGGCTGCCATATTATTAACCAAGACTGGAATTACTCCCTAAGTAAGGTAATACAAAGAGCAATTTAAATTTTAGAATTTCACTTGGATTCACATAAAAACAAGATTAAAAATATAATGATATTTATCTGTATTTTAAACACTACTGGAAGTATAAATCCTAAAATGCACATTTTTATAACCTAACCATTTCAGAAATAATAATGTTATTATCATTACCATTATCAGTCTTTTGCATTTGTACAGTACTTTATATTTTTCTGAGCAATTCATGCACTTAGTAGTCTGTAACTTCATAATAACCTTGAGTGAAACTAGATTATTTATTGGTTTGGGCCAATCTTTCATATCTTTTAAAGTTTGGCTCAAATACAATATACTCTATCAGTAATGGTTAATGTGAATTCTATGAACACCTATTAAAACTGAAAAAAAAAAAAAACCAAACTCATTGCTGTCGAGTTGTTTTCGACTCATAGAGACCCCTCCTTGGGTTTCCAAGGCAGTATCTCCATGGAAGTAGATTGGCCAACCTTCCTTCCAAGGAATGGCTGGTGGGTTTGAACCACCAGCCTTCTGGTTAGCAGTCAAATGCCTTAGGCACTACACCACCAGAGCTCCTGGTGAACACCTAATAGCACTACACCACCAGAGCTCCTGGTGAACACCTAATGTCCTGGTGAACACCTTATTTTCATATCTCTTAGTACCCAACCATCTTTCAATTATTTGTATGGGTATTTAAATTCCCCAGTTTGGCTGAAATAAGGATTGTATCTTACATATCATCATGTTCCTCAGCATATGGCTTGCATTTTGTACCACGGAAGCTCAGTATCTTGACTGTATCCAAGAATCAGATACTTTGAGGTAGCTTTGGAGAAAAATTATTGACAGTTCATAGTTCTTTGAGGATAGTCTACAATCAGAGCTCCTTTTCATGGCTTCAAATAGAGAGCAAAAGTCTGGTTTTCTAATGGCAAAAAGAACTACCATTGGTATTTAATTATCATTGGTGCCATTGTTTTAAGGATGTAAATAGCTCAAATCTAAATCATCATCCACGTGCCAAAATTGAAATTATGTAATTCATATACAAAGTTGTATTTGAAGCTTTATTTAATATCTCCCTCTCTATGATACACTTGATCTTCTCTATTCCTGCCTGTTTTTCTTCATTAGTCTCACTTCTCTGTATGACGATTTCACCCCATGCACTTTTGGGTTTATGTGTGATACTCACTTGTAAACAAACATCTGTCCTTTCCAAGAATGTCGAGATACGTTATGCCCAATTCTGAAGATCTATCTGTACTATTCGAAACTATCAGGCTGACTAACTCTATACCAATCATAAAGACACAAGTCCATGCCAAAAAGCCTGTTCCACGGGAACAGCCATTCTCTCAAAATCAAGTTGTATTTTTATCCTTACAAAATGAAGTAAACACTCAACAGAATAGAGATCTATAAAGTCACTTACAGACAGAATAGCTCCACAAAGGTACTGGTAGAGGCAATTCGACATGTACCCTGAGCCTCCCTGCACATTACTGTTGAGCATGCAGGAATGCCTCAAGCACTTGTTATCCAAACAATTTCTCAGTGTTGTGAGTGCAGCACGCAACCTTAAGAAATGAAGTAGGAACTTCCTTGGGGACTAAAAGCGTCTTGCTTATTTCTTGCTATGAACAGTGAGTTCCTCAAGTTCAGTGTTCCTCAGCTGGGACATGAGGCCATTGTCTGCACATGCACATCATACATCTGGGGCCCTCCAATTGTCCCCAGTGGATGTGGGGATGAGGAGAACAGAAACAAGATGCTAATGTTGCTGCTGTCCCATGAATAATACACTCTTGTGTCTCTGTTGAAGACAGTCACCATAAGAG